CTCCTGGTAGCAAACTAGCTACTAATAGCGATGCCCTTGTTCCTAGTGGCTTCTTGTTCCTGGTAGCACACTAGCCACTAATAGAAACGCACTTGTTCCTAGTAGCTCCTTGTTCCTTGTTCCTGGTAGCACACTAGCCACTAATAGAAATGCACTTGTTCCTAGTAGCTTCTTGTTCCTGGTAGCGTCCTTGCTCGATGCCCTTTGTTACTAGTAGCTTCTTGTTCCTGGTAGCGGCCTTGCTCCTAGTAGCGATGCCCTTTGTTGCTAGTAGCTTCTTGTTCCTGGTAGCGTCCTTGCTCCTAGTAGCGATGCCCTTTGTTACTAGTAGCTTCTTGTTTCTGGTAGCGTCCTTGCTCCTAGTAGCCATGCCCTTTGTTCCTAGTAGCTTCTTGTTCCTAGTAGCGTCCTTGCTCCTAGTAGCGATGCCCTTTGTTACTAGTAGCTTCTTGTTTCTGGTAGCGTCCTTGCTCTTAGTAGCGGTACCCTTTGTTCCTAGTAGCTTCTTGTTCCTGGTAGCGTCCTTGCTCCTAGTAGCGGTTCCCTTTGTTACTAGTAGCTTCCTGTTCCTGGTAGCGTCCTTGCTCCTATTAGCGGTACCCTTTGTTCCTAGTAGCGTCCTTGCTCCTAGTAGCGATGCCCTTTGTTACTAGTAGCTTCTTGTTCCTGGTAGCGTCCTTGCTTCTAGTAGCGATGCCCTTTGTTACTGGTAGCTTCTTGTTCCTGGTAGCGTCCTTGCTCCGTTCGTCTCGATGGCCTTTTCTAATTAGTAGCTTCCTGTTCCTCAAAGCGTCCTTGCTCCTAGTAGCCATGCCCTTTGTTCCTAGTAGCTTCTGGTTCTGCACTTAATAGTGAGATTACATTCCCATGGTTGCCGGTTGCTTCCAGTCTGATGTCTTCCGCGCCGCCTTTTGTGGAACGCTTGCCATGTCAGTCATGTGTATGCTCAACTTGCTGCAAATCTTTGACTGCAAGATTGCTGCAAAATCTATCTTTGAACTTTGATCATCTGATTCTTTTGAAAATAGTTTTCCTACCACAACGATCAACACGCCTTCACATCCATGCGTCACCAAGCTGCTGTTGACGATCAGTGAGGAGTGTCAAAATGCCCACGAAGACGAAGTCAATGGCTTTCTGCTTCACACCCTGGGAGAGGAGCCTCAAAAGCCATGCAGTGAGTCAGGCACCTGAAAAGCACCTACACTACAACACTCTTTACAACCGACACTGGGCGCGCACCAACGTCCCAGGCAGCACGAAACAACCCACCACGTTAACCTCGGAAATCTCCTAAATAAGTCCAAATAATTCCAAGGAGGCGTAGGGCGTAGGGTTTCGCAAAGCTCCAGAATCGATGTCTTGAATCGCATGTGCCGCAACTGGTTGCATAGCCCGATCCAGGTCAATCCTCATGGCCAAGATGCTTACGCCACCACTCGCTGACGAAAGGATACCTTGCCCGAGGCTTCGCTGTCGAGCACTGGCCCATGAAAGGAATCCAAGAGTTTCGTGACATTTCATGACCACATGGTGTTCGTGGTCCATTCAGCCGGGAGGCGTCTCCCATAGGCCTCTCTCGCCGGTGTTGCCCGAGTCTTGCTTCATGATGGACAAGCCCGTTTTCTCCTGAATGCAGGTAGATCAGAAGTCTTGGCTACTCCTATGTCTGACAACACCACCATCTACGAAGCACGACAAGGGGAGCAATCAGCAGGGCCCAGCCTATTGCACACTTTCCAGCAGTGCTGTTTTCGCCAACGGGCGAAACAGCAACGTTACATTTGGGGTCCAGGCACGCTTTCAGGAAGCTACACCGGATCTGGTTCAACCCTGTCATTCCCACGTGCAGGTGTGCTTCATTTGCGCGATGGTTGCCCTCCCAAAGTGGAGCTTGAGTCCCATGCTTGCTTGGGCCTTCGCAAGGCAGGCCCTAGCAAGCCCTAGCATGTGGGAGTCAAACATGTAGAAACCCTTCAAATTCCATGGGGTTAGAGCCTAAACCTAACCAGAATCAGGTGAAGAAGATCGGCAACTCGCCTCAGGTCCTAGATGTCTGTGGCTTCATGGCCCTCTCCCCACACCACATCTCGCCATCCCAGCGTCTGAGACGATGAGCATGAAGCCTTGACCCTCAATGAGTTCCAACCAGTTGCCACGTTGAACTCCACGCACCACCATGCCTCCCAAGGGGCAGGGCCCCGGATGGCCCCGGCCCGGCTCGGTCGTTGGGGGGGAGCCGTGACTTTAGACATATTGGATGGGTTTGGATGAGTGTGGCACCCATGGCCGTGGGAGGAACTGATGTCTTCTAGCTCTTTGGAAGTGCCACTTGTCGTCGTTTGAGTCCACGAATGTCCATGCAACATTCAAGCATGCCATTGCTAAATGCTTGCGCAAATCAGCGGGTGTAGCTTGCACTATTTGGGTTTGTATTTTTTTAAGGTTCCCGGGCCGGGATGTTTGACTATGGCAATGGGGTATGCTTCGGAGGTATGCTTCGGGGTATGCTTCGCGCAGTGTGAAGACTAAAGTAGTAGCATTTCCAGAGGGTATGCTTCAGGGTATGCTTCGGGGGTATGCTTCGCCTAAGTCGAACATCCCAGCCCTACATAAACTGGACACCTTAAAAAAAAGACAAGCCCATTTGGGCAAACATGTAGACTATCCAGACCATTCCAGACCCAGTTTGCGGCATTGGTGCATTCCTTGTTCACGCCTCTTCTGCTTCAATTCTTCAGAGGGTAACAAATAGTAACACATTGTAAAAATAAAGGCTGGAAGACCAACGGAACTCGACCACAGGAAAGCATGTCCGCCTCGCTCCTTCACAGCAAGCTCTTCTGATGTGCTGGACTTCTGCTTGTAGACCTGACTTCTGCGAGGTCTGCCGCCATGACTGCTGCTTCGAATTGGCGGAGCGCCATGACACCAAGCTTCAACTAAAACTGCTTCTAGTAACTTGCTCACTATGTTCACTCTCAAGAAGAACATCCCAGAAGCCTGAAGCAACACCAACGAATGTTTGATCTCAATCTGGGCGTGTCGTTGTCGTTTTGTCCAAGACACCTTCACCGCCTGAGTGTCCGTCCTCCATGATGTAATCGCATCCGGGTCCGTGCCACAGAACCTCTGACATCGATGCCATGCACAAAAGAGATGGATGACACATCTAGCCGCGTATATAGTGCCACATTGCTCTTCTGATGCAAAACATAATCTGAGATTCGATGATGTTCTATTATGTTCTATTCTATGCAAGGCACTTGATGGTACTCATGGTCCTGCAGAATGCCACAAAACATCACAAGAAGTGCGAATTCTTGCCCTGACTGATTCAACTCACAAAGCAACAAAACCTCTGGGTCAAGTTGTTCTGCTGTTAGGTACTATTCGCGACTATCAGCTAATGTGGCCTTGGGGCTCATGCCAGTTCCACAAATGCACTGTCCTCAGCGCTTTCCAGAAGTCTTCCAACGGCGAGGCAGAGATTTCGCCGGACAAAGGCACCGCAGTTTCCAAGACCCAGCGTGTGGCATTCTCCAGGTCCTCTCAAAAAGAGCCGTCCAGAAGAATGGGAGAGTGTTGGAAAGAGAATTGAACTCGTTGAATTGGTGCAAAAGATAGCACAAACAAACGAAGGGTTACTTGATGTTACCAGGTTGCCCTGGTCGTGTTGCAAGGCTGATTGTTGGGATAGTCACGGTTGACATCAGAGACGTGTGAGCCAGGTCGACGTTCACTTCAATTGCAGCTAGCGATGTCCAAAAGTTCAAGCAATGTGGGGTAGGCCCTACGTGTCGCCGGAGGCTGGTGAGGACGATTGGATATATTCTTTTGCAGATGCAGCAACAAACAAGAAAACAAGTTTGAGCGGAAAAAGGGAGAATGAAGGATTCTGAGAATCATGTCACATGTCGAATCCCCGAGTCAGGGAGTCACCTTAGGTCATGGGTCATGACAGCATACAAAAGTCTTGGGGCGCTGCAAAAGTATTGTAGATCCGAATCTGCCGGCATTTAGTTTTTTACTAGGAACCAGTGCATCGC